TAATACCACATAAAGTTAAAAGCCACCAGGAAGAAGAGGGAGGAGAAGGTGAAGGATTCTCCCCTCTTCCAACTGCTTCCCAGCTACATTGATAAGCACCTAAACGAACATGGATCAGAAAAATGCTGCAAATAGGTGGGCTCCGATGTGGATGGCGTGGAAGAGTAAGTGGAAGACATGAAAGGCATGCAAGGCATGCATGAAAAACATAGCTTGAAGGGTTTCAATGAATTGAGAATGATTTGGGATTGAAAACATAGGGCGTCGAGTTGGTTTATATAGAACAAATTCACGAACCCGAGTGCCGGAAATAGAACGTAATGTTGCCTCCTTGTATGACCCGAAAACTTATGATGTTGGAAAATGTGGGAAGATGACAAATAGGTGAGAGTGATGTAAATTAGCTTCACCAGCATCCGTAAACGTACAATTCTTTAACGTTCTAGAAATCAATTTTAGAAATTAATTCGACTATTTAATTTATTGAATTTGTTCGATATAGATATTTAATTTATTTCAATCTCTTAAAAAATATTTTTATTTTAATTATAAATAAATGAAATAACTTAACGTAATTTAGTAATAAAAATAAAGATGTCTATGGTCATGTTTGGCCCCGGATTTGAGCATATCAACACCGATATCATTTCGACTCCTCTCAGTTTGTCATACTTTGGACAAAGGTGTCTCATTTTCATTCCATGTGTTTTGTTTTCCTGTCAGAAATATATCAAATATTGAATGCTTATTTTCATTTAAGAGAATTTTTTTTTCAGTTACTTTTCATTCAAAGGTGTTGAAACCATCTTTAGTAGGTTGGACTCCATTACGATGAGATCGTAGTTCCTTTATAAATATCCTTTGTTATATACTATATGGATATTTTTCTATATTTTTATTACTTAAAAATTAATAAACATGAATTGTATCCCAATTATTTTTTAAAGCTAACTCTTTACAAATAACTCGTTATTAACAGAAAAGATGAGAATTTAATTTGCTTATGGAACTTACATTCTGAAACTTAAAATTCAAAGAAATTAAAACTTTTCTCATTTATTTGTTCAACACACACATTCCACTGGTGACTTTTATTTATAAAAGAGACAAGAAATTGCCACGTTAGTTGGTGTTGAAAAAACTTACATCTAGAAACAATTTCTTAAAGTGTGAGTCTAGGGACGACTTTCGGACACAGATGTGTTTAAACTGAAACCTGAACCGCAAAAATAATTCGACTGTCAGACACAGTTTATCGACAACATGATCCGTCAAAAAATCTTCGCAAAAGCTCATAACCCATCCGCTACTCGTACAAATATCGATTTAGAAAATACCTATTTAGAAAATACTTATGAATATTCTACGGATATTTCGTTTAGAAAATACTTATTTAAAAAATACTTATGAATATTCTACGGATATTTCGTTTAGAAAATACTTCAGACAATACTCGCGAACCCTCAAAAAGTATAAAAAATATATTTTAAAAAATTTAATTTTAATTAAATTAAACCTAATAAAATATAAATTAATTTTATTTTTAATTAAATTTAATTTAAAAAATAAAAATTAATAACTTTTATTATTTTTTGCGGTAAGAAATGGATATTAATAATATTATTCATTATCCAAACAATATTTTCACATCACAACATTTTAACATTATATATATAATTCTGTTATTAATTCAGGTTGATGTTTATAATTATTAATAATATTACTCATTAATCAGACAACATTTTAACATCATAACATTTTAACATCGTGTGTGTATATATATATACACGATTCAGTTAATTAATCAAATAATTACAATATCATAACATCTTAACATCATATATTGTAAGACCCTGGAAACTTAACTCTGCAAAACCTATGTCAAATCAATTTAATGCATTAAAAACCCTCTTCAGTGCATTAAAAACGCACCACGAACTCTGACGCACGTCCGCCAGGTGTCGAGAATGGAATGTTCTGAAATCAGTAGTGGAATACAAGTGTCAGCAAGAGAACGGACGTTGGTTTTTTAAACAAAACTGACTTCTCTTAAAACATCGTCACTCTCTGCATGCACTCATCTTCTCCAAAAATCTGATCTTTCGAATTCTCCACCTTCTCTCTAGAAAACCTCCACCTTCTCTCTATTGTAACTCATTACCCTCTTCTCCGATCACGTTTCAGAAACCATAGGAGCATTCTCTGAGTTGTGAGCTTCAATCGGAACCGAATAGATCCAGGTTCTGAAACCGGTAAGTCTCTCGACTCTAGACGCTCGTTTCTGAGTTACATACGAACCCAGATGCAGCTGCATGCAATTGTATAAACTAAGTTATGTGCGTTTTTCTTTTGGTTAGTTTTAGTTGGAGAACTTAAGAAGAACGTTGAGGGTAGAAAGCCATAGTTGGACGAGTCAAAATCACATTCTTAGGACGTTCACTATTGATCCAGGTAAGGGAAGCTTATTAATTTAATTGATACTTGTATGTTGTATGAAAGCATGTTATGGACTGGATGCATGAGATGTACGCTAATTGTTTATGTATGAACGATCGCTGTTAGAATGAATATGGTATATGTTTGGTTGAAATGTATGTTGATGATTGATACGTATGAATAGGAAATGAATTATCACTTTGAAGTATGAACGATTAATGTGAATCATATAAAGTTTGGAAATTTATATTGATATGAAGTTATAAAGTATGAACTGATATGTTGAAATTTGATATTTGAAATAGATGAAAATCTAAATATGAATTCCTTCCTATGATAAAATACGTTCGTCATCGTATGGTCTTATACCTTTCGTTTTTCTAGTAAATGACTTAAAATGGAATTCTTTCATTCGGAAAGAACTCTGATCGAGAACGATCGTCCTCGTGTGAAAAACTAGGTTTGAGCGTTCGGCTCAGCCTAGTGGTATACGAGTCTTTGAAATGAAATAATGAAATTATACCTTATACTTAAAATTAGTAACGCTCAGTCTTATACCAAGCGTTCGTCATAAGTAGCGCTTAGTCTTATACTAAGCGTTCGTCCCAATTGGTGCTCGGTCGTATGCCTAGCGTTCGTCCTAATGAGCTCTCGGTCTTATACTAAGCGTTCGTCCTAATTAGTGCTCGGTCATCTACCTAGCGTTCGTCCTAAGTAAGTGTTCGACCTTATACCGAACGCTCGTCCTTACCTTTGATTTTCAAACGTGCGTAAATAACGTTCGTTCAAATATTTAGTAAATGTATATTTATCGCGTCCGGTCATTGACTGGCAGGTCGGATCCCTTTAAACAAAATTGTTTCTCATATATACGGGTTTTTTAATTATTGTGTCTTGTTGTATTCTTTATCCATTTGGGAAGGTCGGCCTTAGAGCTTTTGTAACCTAAATTAGTTTCTGAAATATTATTGTATATCTTCTTAAGAGTCGTGTTCATTCCAACTGATTCGAGTAGCATATGCGGTTCGTCATATAACTTTTGTTGACTTATTCTGCATTGCAACGGAGTCTTTCTAAATCTAGTCTTTAGCGTTCGTCTCGTTTCTTCAGAAGAATGGAACGTTCGTTTATTTTTATATTCTTAAAAACTAAAGATGAAAATGGATGGTATAAAGTGTAAGATTTCTGAAGGGATGAATCTTAATTTTGAGTGATAATATGAATGAATGGATTTTGGAAACGAGCCGTTTCCCAGGGAGGAACGACTCAGGTTATGAAATATGGGAAATTTGGTTAAAGTATGACTGTGGGCATGCTAATGCTGGCTGGTCCATCCTGATGTTCCGTGAGTACTCATCCTCACGTAGAGGGGGTAGGTCATGTGTGGGAACGACAAGAGGTTCTATTCCTTAGGTGTACTTTGGATAGGACTAACCTCGAGTGGCAGCTGTTGAGTATATCCCAGTTACTACACCACTTGGGTGCAAGGACGCCTGTAGCTACACAGATTCATACAGTCCGGACGGTTTGTCTAGTTATATATTTCTGATGATATTATATGTTAAGTTATATGTTGTGTGTGAATGGAAATGTTAAATGTATATGTTGATGTATGAATTAAATTATATAAGCTTACCCTCTCGTTTTCCTTGTGTTGTCTGTTGTTTATGTTCGTCCTGTCGTTGCAATGATCATCCGTGTGGATGTGAGCAGAAGGCGAGGCCACCTTGGAGGACGTGATTGAAGAAGAAAATCTGGTCGAAGTGGAAGTTAAAGCCGAGCCCTAGAACTTTAGTTATTTATAGATGTTAGCTTCTTAGTTTTGACATTCGGTTATTGGATTTTGTACAGCCGTTCGTTCTGAAAATTCTAATACTTCTGTAATTGCATTCTAATTCTGTATTTTAAGCCGTTCGACTTTTGAACCTCGTTTTATTAGTGTAAAGACTGCATTGTTTTACTGTTAAATATAATTAATTCTGATTTATGGTAATTACTGTATTTTGAAATGTTACATATATTATATATATATATATATATATAATCAATCAAATAATTATACTACGTAAATAATATTAAAATATTATAAAAATGCTGTGAAATTATAATTATCTTTTTTAATATGGACTCCCTTATGAGAACCTTTTTTATTCACACACTCAATCTATTACTGACTCCTCTCTCTCTCACAAACTCACGCATCTAACCAGTTCTAACTAGCTCTGATAATCAGATATTAGTGAGACACTGAAACTTATTCTACGAAACTTGAAACTAATAAAAAACAAAACTCTCATTTATTCGTTCTAACACACGCTTTTGATAATTAAATTAACGAAAGTTACAACATAATTGGTGTTGAGAAAACTTACACTTACAAAAGCTTGGTATGTCATACTGGTATTTGTCTCCTCTATCTTTCTCACATTCTTACTTTTTAGCATGTTCATGCTTTTGGCCGCCTCTATTAGTGTTATTAAAGGACTTGTAAATTTTTACCTTAATTTTTATGAGACAGAGAATGGTGACATCCCGGCAAAGTATGAAAAACCAAATAGCAGATATTAAATTTCAAAGCGGATGAAATTGATATTAATGGATTACAAAAGTTGTTGATAGCGATAAAAATAAAACAAATTTATTTAACGGGCCAACAGAGACATACAGAGCAAGGTGTTAAATTTGAAGACAACAGCCGAGAAGGAGTTATAGCACTTAAAAACCACCACGAAGACGCAGGACAAGGTGAAGGGTGGACTCCTTCTGGATATTGTAGTCAGCAAGGGTCCTCCCATCTTCCAATTGCTTCCCTGCGAAGATCAGCCTCTGCTGGTCCGGTGGAATTCCTTCCTTGTCCTGAATTTTCGCCTTCACATTGTCAATTGTGTCAGAACTCTCAACCTCCAGAGTGATGGTCTTCCCAGTCAAGGTCTTCACAAAAATCTGCATCCCACCCCTGAGTCGGAGGACAAGGTGAAGGGTTGACTCCTTCTGGATGTTGTAGTCTGCAAGGGTGCGGCCATCCTCAAGCTGCTTACCAGCAAAAATCAACCTCTGCTGGTCTGGGGGAATGCCCTCCTTGTCCTGAATCTTAGCCTTCACGTTGTCGATGGTATCTGAGCTCTCCACCTCAAGGGTGATTGTCTTTCCGGTAAGGGTCTTGACGAATATCTGCATTCCTCCACGGAGACGGAGGACCAGATGAAGGGTGGACTCCTTCTGGATGTTGTAGTCAGCCAGGGTGCGACCATCCTCCAGTTGCTTCCCGGCGAAGATCAAACGCTGCTGGTCTGGTGGGATCCCTTCCTTGTCCTGAATTTTGGCCTTTACGTTGTCGATGGTGTCGGAACTCTCTACCTCGAGAGTTATGGTCTTACCAGTCAAGGTCTTAACGAAGATTTGCATCTGCACCGTCATACCCAACCAACAGATGAATCAAAATCAAACCAGCATAAGAATCTTAATTAGAATAATTGACAAAATTTAGGGCTCAACTCCAGATCAAAATCACGATCTCAAACACAAAACAGAAAATAAAGCATCACACACACAAAAACTGAGAATCTTAATTAAAATAATTTACATATTCAAAACTGAAAATTTGAAGCCCGGAACATTAAGAACGTCCATAACATTTCCTTTATCAGGTTTAAAAGGCAGCAGCGAACAGGATTCATGTTCGCAGAACCATACACAAGTTGCCGTAAAATTAAAAACCTAACAGATTCTTCAGATGCATAAAAACCCAAAATATTGAATTGCAGATAGATGATTAAAACTTCAATGAAAAATTAGGAGGCTTAAGCGGAAGATTTAAGAGAAGGAGGAGAGGAGAAACACACCTTGAAAGATTTGAATGAACCGAAACTACAGAAATGAGATTGAATTGGTGATGACAAGCATTGGGGTTTGGGGTGTGTTATATAGGAAAAACGCGATGAGGCGGTGATGGAGTTGGATACGGAAACAAAGAGAGCGTTACCACTTTGCCAATCACGTTGCGACGCGTGTAAGGAAGAGCGGAACAAGGCAGCTTCTAGAATCATGACGTTGGAAATATAAAATTCATTGATGGCATTGGCGGTCCTGTCCCTCTTCTTTTCCTTTTTATTTTTGGATTTTTTTTCCTGCAAAAGATGTATTATTGGATTTAGTTTGTTAGAACATCGTTTTAATATATTTATTTTTAGTTTTATTACGTCACACTACTTTTTTAAGACTTCATATCTATTTTCTGAACTTTATAATATCTCATTTAATAATATATGTAATTTACATTTTAACCAAGATATTTATTTAAAATACAAATTACTTTTAATAACTTTTTAATTTTAATGATTCAAGGAGTTAAATTTGTTATCAGCAGTGTCTACTATAAAACTTTATAAGATTCAGATTTTAAATTATAAACTCTAAATTCTAATACGTTTAAGCTCTTTTTACTATAAATTTTAAATTATTCATTCCTTTCAAAAGCCAAGAGTCTGTTTTAATCTTTTTAAATAATCACAAATTGAAAAATAAAATCGAAAAACATCTGTAGAAATTATTTTTTTAAAAAAAATAATCATGTTTTGTAATTATCAACCTTGCCTAATCTCATGCAATGAATATATCATAACTATATTATATACACATTATTCACAAAATTTTCCATCTTTTGTTGTTTCCTTTGGTATTAAATTTCGATAACTGTTGTTGAAAGCAGTACTTTGTTTGATTATAATAACTTGTGCTTAGTCTGACCACCTTTTACACACAATCTACATGCAACTTGTTATATTATAATTAATTAATTTATGTACGGAACAAAGTATAGCATTACTGTGGGTATCTCATAACACTAGCTCACGCTTAGTAACATAGTATGTTTATGTGGGCTGGCTGGCTAACTTGAGTTGCAGGAATTTGTATTGAGTAAGCATTTTTTACGAAGAAAACAATGGGAATAACGTCATGTTGGATTAATAGGATGCTTTTTATTACCTAAAACATTTAGTATTTTCACATAATATAAGGAATAAATGTATCATTAACAAAGTATAGCATATAAACTAATTTATTACCTGCTTTCTCCCCATTTAATATGAGTTTTCTACCATTATTAAAAGTAAGAAATGAAGTTAATGGATCACATTGTCTAAGCTCTTTTGATGGTTTTAAAGTCCTGAATTAAATTATCATTGTCAACAACTGAAATTATTGAGATGACAATAATTGGTATTATGTTATAGATTTATACTTTGTTTTATGTGATAATAAAAACTAATTAATTAATACTAATATTTTTTTTATCATGTTTGTTGTTTCAAAATATAGAGTTTTTATAAAATATTACTTTTGTTGCCATTAAAAATAACTCAAAACGTGTTTATGATTTATGAAAGTGAAAAAAATGTGTATTGAAATATACATAAACAAATAAAATTAAAAATATTGTAATTTTAGAAGTTAGAATGAAAGTGTAATTCTAACTATATGGAAGCATTATTTTTTTGCTCCAGAACGTGTATGTGTTTATATGAAACGCATTACAATATAGGCATGTCTACATCCCTTTTAAATATTCAACCATCTGTTTAAGATGTTTTTTTTGTATTATTATTGTTATTATTAACGTTGTTTAACAAGTTGTTTTATATAGTAAAAAAAGTGAAAGAATGATGACTATGATGCAAGTTGCTTTATAAAAACGCAGTTAATAATGGCCATCACGATGAAGAAGCGAAAAACAAGGCTTTCTTTTGTCACGGTGCTGAAGATTATGAATGACAATGAAGAAGACGACCGACATCCCATTACACTTTACCCAATAAAAATGGATAAGATGTTTAAGAGAATCAATCTTGTTGCCTCATGGAAGAGACTATGCACGTGACATCCTATTTGAAAAGATTAATAGAAAATTGAGTTGTGATTGTTTGAATAAAGTTTCAGATTATGCTAAGGTCGGGTTCAATGAACAAGATTAAGATTGAATTAAATATGAGCCTCTGCTCAATAATGTCTTCTACAAAACATCCATTGCCTCTTATTATGTCTCCTGCAACTAAAGTGTGGCTCCACTTGCCATGCTTTTCTTTTAAAAAATATTTACTGTCACCATGCCATAATTCGGAGCTTAATTATTTAAACTTATATATAAACTTAATCTTAACAAATATCTATCTATGCAATTAAAATAGTTCGCACTATCATTAAATTAATGGAAAACATTAATAAAAAAATTTCAATCCTTGGATTCGTCTCCTCTAACCGAGCATTGTTAATAAAAAAAAAATCGTTGATGACAGCTATTTATAATTTTATTGGTAAAAAAGTAAACTTTTCCACAAAAACTTTTTATTTTTTATTATTGAATATATCCTCGTGTAAGAAATTTAGGGCTATATAAAGGAGAAGGAGGCAAACTAAAGAATCACGAAGAGGCAGTGACATGGCTACCCAACAATCTCTGTTAGAGAAGCCTAAAAAGCCCGTTTCCAAAACTATCTGCTTACTCCTTTCTGTAATTGCAGTTCTAAGTTCATCAGCTTTTCTTGCTTCTTATATCTTCAAACCATCCTCGGTCTTCAACGATTCCTCCCTTAACCATGTCTGTCATCACGCACTTGATACTACATCCTGCTTGGCACATATCTCAGAAGTAACCCAAACTCACATGTTCACCACAACAAAACGCCACAAATTCGATTTGCTCAAATCGTTCCTGATAAAACACGCCTCACATATTGAGAAAGCCATGGGCGAAACCAACGCTATCAGACTCAGGGTCAACAATCCGAGAGAGGAAGCAGCTTTGAAGGATTGTGTGGATCTGATGGAGTTATCCTTGGACAGAGTTTGGAACTCCATGTTAGCACTGACAAAGCAAACCACTGAGTCGCATCAAGATGCACACACGTGGCTGAGTAGCGTGCTGACTAATCATGCAACTTGCTTGGATGGATTAGAGGGTGCTGCTCGCAGTGTTATGGAGGATGAACTTGAGGACTTGAAATCTAGGTCAAGAACCGCTCTGGCGATTCTTGTTGAGACGGTTTTGCCACCGAAGGTTGAACAGATAATTGACGAACCCCTAAATGGGGACTTTCCCTCGTGGGTCAGCATCAGGGATCGGAGGCTTTTGGAGAGTGGGGTCGGGGACGTCAAGGCCAATGTCGTGGTGGCTCAGGATGGGAGTGGCAAGTTTAAGACTGTCACTGAGGCTGTGGCATCCGCACCGGACAACGGCAATACAAGGTACGTTATTTATGTGAAAAAGGGAACATATAAAGAACACGTTGAAATTGGTAAGAAGAAGAAAAACGTCATGCTCGTCGGTGACGGTATGGATGCAACTATAATCACCGGAAGCTTGAATTTCATCGACGGAACTACAACCTTTAACAGTGCCACCGTCGGTATGTACTGTCTTCCCCGTATATTTCCAGTTTCTCTGTTATGTTTGACCTAATTATGTTTGTATTCCTGAATAAGTGAAGTTACCATTTTGATCGAATGATCAAAGATCTGAATCACAATAAGACACAAATGAGTACAGGACATCTTGAATTTTCGAACACTAACCACGTATAGTGTTATACGGGTTTTGCAGCTGCCGTGGGTGATGGATTTATTGGTCAAGATATATGGTTTCAGAACACAGCGGGAGCGGCAAAACACCAAGCGGTGGCTCTTCGTGTAGGCGCCGACCAATCTGTGATAAACCGTTGTCGCATAGATGCCTTTCAGGACACTCTCTACACACACTCGAACAGGCAGTTTTACAGAGACTCTGTCATCACTGGAACCATTGACTTCATTTTCGGAAATGCCGCTGTTGTGTTCCAAAAGTGTAACCTGGTGGCCCGAAAGCCCATGAGCAACCAAAAGAATATGGTGACGGCTCAAGGAAGAGAAGATCCAAACCAAAATACAGGAACTTCGATTCAACAATGTAACCTAACACCGAGTTCAGATCTTAAACCCGTCGTGGGTTCCATCAAAACTTATCTGGGTCGTCCTTGGAAGAAGTATTCGAGGACTGTTGTGATGCAGTCGTCGATAGACAGCCATATTGACCCAACAGGATGGGCAGAGTGGGATGCCCAGAGCAAAGACTTTTTGCAAACGTTGTATTACGGAGAGTACATGAACAGTGGAGCAGGTGCTGGAACCAGCAAGAGAGTGAATTGGCCCGGTTACCATATCATCAAAAGCGCAGCAGAAGCCAGCAAATTCACAGTAACACAACTCATCCAAGGAAATGTTTGGTTGAAGAACACTGGGGTCAACTTCATTGAAGGTCTCTAAATGCTTCTATCTGTCTCTCATGAGTGTGCTTTTCATTTCAGAGGAAATTAGGTAAAAGGATGCTTACCATGGTTGTCTCTACTGCTGCTGACACGTGTTTGAAAATGTAATAAAGAATCTGCTAAAAAAATATTAAGTAATTTCCGTTAGACTAATTTTCATTTGTTTCACTAAAAAAACAGGTATTAATTAATTGTTTGAAAACAATTTTTTTTTTCAACACTGGACATAGAATGTCATCACATCATCACATCTAGATAAACACCTTATTCTTAACTAAATATGTTACTGATTAAATACTGAAAATGTCTCGTTTTAAAAAAATATGTGAAATGAATTTATTAAATGCACAAAGTAATTAAGAAACATTGGATTTAGTATGATATAAGAGACACACCGGATCATGATCATGCTAAGATACATTATCAACTTTTTAGTCTTTTGGTGCATAATAGAAAAGGAAACACTGTGTGAAAGTGTATGTATGTAGTTGACCATTATTTCAAGCAGATGAAACCAAAGAAACAAAATTATATTTAACAATAATAAATTATTATCATTGTCTTCCAAAAATTCTCCAATTTATAAAATAAACTCTTATAATATTTCATGTAGCTTATGATATATTGTTAAAAAGAAAACATCTAATGCTATATTAAAAAA